CTCAGTTAATGTGTTTAGATAAAGTACTGGAGTTCTATAACGTAAAAAATTATCCTTCCTGAATCGCCTCAATATCCTATGATTTTGTGCCGGCCGTTGCTACTTCCCGTTCCTCCAGTAGTTCATTGGGGTTATGTGGGTGGTAGACGGTATATTCTCATATGAATAAGAATGATTATCTTGAATATATTCATGATTATCTGTGAAGATATTCATACTTATTCATACCTTTTCTATATATGTCGCGACGGACTTGGTTCATCCCAAATCTTCCTCAGATTTACTCCTCCTGCCCTCTAACTTCCCTCCTTTCCTCCTCAACTTCCCTATGGTCTGTGGCTTCCTTATCCCTTTCCTCCCATCCCCATCCCCCTTTTCTCTGAACCCCTTTTCCCTTCCTCTCCTTTTCCTTTCACCCATTCCTCTTTCTTCCTTCTGGCCTTTCTAATTCCCCTCTCTTGTCCTTCCCCATCTTCTCTTCCTCTTTAAGGCCCCTTCTCCCGCCCCTTTTCCATCATCTCTTTCCTTCTTTAAAACCTCTCCTTTCTTCCAATTTCCTTTCTCCTCCCCCTTTACTTTCCTTCGTTATCTACCCATAGGATGGTTGTGTAAAAAATAAATGTGCATAAACTGACGGGCTAACTACTTGTCTCGAAGAAGAATGATAATGGTGATATTAATATGATGATGATGATAATGATAATGAGGGTGATAATGATATTAATAATGTTATAATGATAATGATATTAATAATGTGATAATGATAACAGCAAGTACGATAACAAAAACAATAATGATGATAATGATAATAATGATCATAATAGTAGGAATAGGATAGCTTCGTAATATGATGCCTTTGTGTGTGTGTGGGGGGGGGGGGTGTTCTTCAGTATTTATGTTGTCATTACATTACCCCATTTTACATGAAAATGTTGCTTCAACTCAAATGAACTATGGCTTTAGGCGTTAGATGCCGCTTTTACATTAAAATAAAGGAAATTCAGTTCCTCATATTTATTATATACATTATCATTATCATTAATATTATCATCAGCAGCATCATTATCCTCATCATTATTTTTACTCTCTTCTTCACTCTCATCCTCTTTTCTCTTCCCCTCCCACTCCCCATTCCTATTCCTCCTCCCGTCCCTCTCTTTCCCCTCCCCCTTCTTCTTTACCTCTCTCGCCCCCTCCTCCCTCCCCCCTCCCATTTTCCCTCCTACCCCTCTACTTCCTATCTGAAGTGGTGAAGTAAGTAATAATGACAAGAAAAAAAATGTGCTAGACATCAAAGGTCATATAGCACTATGGTATTGTATTGTGGTGGGAAGGTTTGTTAACGTTCTTTGTTAGAGTTAAAATATCATATTTCAGCTACCATATATATTCTATGATAGTATAGTAGTTAAAGTAGAAACAGGGAGTAGATGGAGTAGGATAGGTATTGATGAATAGAGGAAGGGCTAAGGACAAAGGGTGGTTAGATCCAATGAAGGATATGTGTACGTATGAGGAAGGAGAATAGGTTATCAATAAAGGTGGGGGATTCGGTGAGGATGTCCGAGGTTGGGGTGGGGTGGGGTGGGGTGGTGGTGAGGTGGGGGGGGGATCTGAAGTGGTTGAGGGATTGCGTGATTTCGGAAAATATGTGTCTGACAAAACGCGTTGAGAGCGATCAGTGTGATCATCAATTCCACGTATTGTGAGTGAGTGTGAGTCAGGGTTTACTCACTGATGAATGGGTTTCACGCTGTCCTTGTATTAGAAGATATTTTTATTTATGATGTTGTTATTATTGTCTTTATTGGTGTTGTTACTATTATTAGCATTATTAGTTGTTATTGTTGTTTTTATCATTATCATTACATTTTTTTTTTTTTTTTTTGCTATAGTTAGTATCATTGCTTTTATTATTGTTGCTGTTATTGTAATTGTTGTTATCATCATCACCACCACCATCACCGCCTGCCAAAGAGAGAGGGAGATGTAGGTGGAAAAGAAGGTGAGAGATGGCGGAGGAGAGAGAGAGAGGGAAAAATGGAAGAGGAAAATGGGAGACGAGGGAGGAAGGAGGAGGAGGAGAAGAGGAAGGAAAAAGAGGGTGAGGAGGGACGGAGACAGGGCGAGGGGAAGTGGAAAGATAGGGGGAAGTAGGAAGGACATGAGAGGAAAAGAGGGATGTAGATGGGGAGAAGACGAGGTAATAGAAAGAGGGGAGAAAAGCGAGGGAGATGGGAGAGGAAAATAGGGAGGGAAGGAGATGGGAGGGAGAAGGAGGGGAGATGAGGGTAGAGTTGAAAAGAGATGGAAGGAGAAGAGGGAGAGAGGGAGGGGGAAGAGTGAGGGAAAAGAGGGAGAAATATGATAAGTAGAAAAAAGAAAACTTTCCCCTTTCTGCCTGACGGTAGAACGCTGGAAAACCGGCCTGTCACCTAAGGTTCCAGTGAGAAGGAAGACGGGAGGGTTGCCAGGTATCAATATGACCATTAGAAAACTAGGCCACGCCATGATAATTAGATAATCGGGATAGTCATGAGATTAATTAGGAATGGGCGGGAAATCTACGAGCATTCGGAACGAGGTGGTGGGATTCCCGATGGCGAGGAAGACTTGGCCGACGGGGCAGCTTGCCTAACCTGGTTCCTGCTTGGGGGGTGGGGAGGGGAGGGAGGGGGGCGGCGGTGACGTCAATGGGAAACTAAAGAAATCTGTCTGTCTGTCTGTCTCTCTCTCTCTCTCTTATATACATTTATACGTATATACGAAATATATGTGCATATGTGTATATGTATAAGTATATATAGACGTGTTTATTTATGTAAACACACGCGCACACACACACACACACACACACACACACACACACACACACACACACACACACACACACACACACACACACACACACACACACACACACACACACACACTCATATATATATATATATATATATATATATATATATATATATATATATATATATATATATATATATATATATATATATATATATATTTAGTCAGTATATATTTCTCATCAGACGTTATAAACAGTATGTCTCCCTCTCTTTCGTGAATGTGTTCTGCGGTCATAGTTCTGAGTCACTCAGGTGATGCGACCTTGACTGCTTCCGCCTCCCATCATCTCTTATTTGTTTACAGCAAGATTTCCCCGTAACGCTGTCTGCAGTCGTGTCGGGCGAGATGTCTTTTTATTCCTCTGCGGAAGGGAAATCTCCCTGAATGTGCAGCAACAGGAAGACCTTCTTCGCCTGATAGATTTTCCTATTTAATTCTAACACAGCCTTTCTCTTCATTTTCGTCTTCCACTCCCTTTCCCCATATATAGTATTTTTAAGAAAATGCCTGTATAATTTTGTCTATTTGTCTTAACCGTCACAGTGTTTCAGAAAGTATTCATTTGTGGATCTTTGTGAAAACCGTTTTAGTTCTGCTATAAATAGCCCAACCCTCCTTCTCCCGCAGCAAGATGAATGCGAGGGGCGTTGTGGTGGCGATGGCCGTGGCTGCGGCGCTGGTAGCCGTGTGCAGCGGCCAGATCAACCGGTGTTTCCCCGGCGAGAAGCTCGAGTTCGCCGAAGCGGAGTTTTCCGGTCGCGTCGAGATCTTCGGGCTGAGCCTCTTCCAGCAGCTGAGCCAGTCCGTGCAGGGGAATCTCTTCATTTCCCCGTACAGCATCTGGAGCGCGCTCACCCTCGCCTACTTCGGGTCCGAGGGCAACACGAGGGAGCAGTTGGAGAGCGCTCTTAATCTGAAGAGCAAGACCCACACTTACTTCAACTGGGGCGGCCTGCGATTGTTGTGAGTGTCTCTCATGTGTCCAATACTACGGCTAATGGACATATTACCTCCCCTGTGGTCGCATACCATTTAACATGTCGCTCACGATTCCTTTATCTCCCATGCCCCCAGACTCCTCAGAGCGCCCGAAGGTGAAGGAGTGACCTTCAACAGCCTGAACAGAGCATACATGAACGAAAGACTGAACCTGAACCGCTGCGTTTCCAACATCCTTCCCGACCTTCAGCTAATGGACTTCAGCCGCCCCAGCGTTGCCGTCGAGACCATCAACAACGACGTGAGCGTAGCAACAGAGGGCAGGATCCAGAATTTCATCCAGAACCTCCTTCCTAATACCAACTTTGTGCTCATCAACGCCGTGTTCTTCAAGGGTCTCTGGCAGTCGCAATTCGAGGTCGAACAAACCCGCACGCAGGAATTCCTTATTCCACCTGGGAGGTCTGGCGGAAATGTCCAGATGATGTCTCAGTCAGGCAGATTCAATTACGGTAAGTTTTATCTATGTATTCCATCCTTCCTTTCTCTAATAAACCCCCCCCTCCCCCCCCCCCACACACACCCTCCCATCCCCTCCACACGCATCCATATCCACATCCACACACACACCCAAATCCACGCATCCATATCCACACACTCACCCAAATCCACACCTAGAAATATATTTCTTATATTGAGAAATGACGTGTAGTTGGAGTTGAGGGGGCTGGGTTGTGTTGGGAGGGAGTAGGAGGAAGTGGTGTAGGGGGAATATGAGTAGGAAGAGGATGGGTGTCGAGAGGATGGACATCGGCAGTAGTTGGAGTTGAGGAGGATGGGTGGTGTTGGGAGGGAGTAGAAGGAATGGAGTAACTGTATTGATATCACATCACGGTCTTTGAAGCAGCCGAATAAGTACTCTCCACAATCTGACCAATCGATGTCCATAGGGCAGCTTGCTGGGGAGATAAGAGACAGTTCCAGTATAAGTATTAAGAGTTGGATGAGGTTCTACAGGAATGGGATTGCCAGAGAAATCAGTTAGATTTGATAGTGCTACAGATTCAGTTTCTGATCTGACTGTTACAAGACGGGAGCGATCGGGTCGGGTACGGCAGGGGACTCTGCCCACTTGCTCATGGAGACTGTTGAAAGAGATGTGTTGCCTGAGTAAGGAGCTGTAAGGGGATCACGAAAAATCGGTCCCAATTGGCTGGGCTAAATAGAGTATTTAAGATATTGGTAGAGTGGTGGGTGGTAGAAGGACGTGGACGTGTGGAAGAGGGAGTATTGTTGAGGGGGTAGTATTATGGAGAGATGGAGAATAAGGCTGTAAGGTTTTCGAATTAAATTTTCGAGGTTTCGATATCAATAAGGGTAGATGTGATTGGTGAAGAAGGCTGTGAGGGTATAGTTGACGAAGTTGAAAAAGTTGGGAGAGTAGGAGTCTCGACTTGGGTGGATAATGTACTGGTAGGCATTGAGTGGGTAGTAGCTGTAGTGTTCAGAGTCGTGGTCAAAGGAGAGCCTAGAGTCAGGCAGCCGGGAGAGTTTGAATCGGTGGGGCTATTTGATGAAGGGGAAAGCCTCATTGCTGGCCATGGAAATCCTTGATTATGTTGGGGAAATAAAAAGTCCACCCCTCAGGGTCCCCTTGAGGGGTAAGGGCTGAACAACAAAACAGGGGAATAGCCGTTCAGGACTGGCACAAAGTCAGCCATTTTATCCTTTCAGGAGGGCTCTTACACCCTAGGAAGTAGATAGTAGAAGGGGTTGGAGAAGGGACGGAAACGAAAGAGCTGGAGGGAGAAAAGTCCATGCAAAATTAGTTGAGTCGAGGGCTGAGACCCTAGGCAGGGGGAGTCCCTTGCATTGGGTCTCACTCTCCGTCTCCTAAGCCCATCACGACAACAACAGGCAAGGGATTGGGGGAACATATATATAAGAAAATCTCTGTTCTGTAGGTAACGTGCCGTCCCTGGAAGCCAAAATCTTGGAACTGCCCTACGAGAACTCCAGTGTCTCCATGTTCATCCTACTGCCTAATGACATCAGCACGGACTCCATAACCTAGCCCTCACCACCCCCTCCGAACCACACAGCTCAAATGCCCCCTACGAACACCAACTTCTTCGCGAAACTCGTCGTTGATTCGACATGTCTTCAAGAATCGAAAACGAACTGAAGAATGTAAGTTTATTTCGTTGATGTGGTACTGAATACTACAATGGCAGCGGGAGTGCACTGTATATGTTATAACTTTACTATGATGATCATGGTTTATAGTAAATAATATTAAATATAAATATAAGTGACACTACGAATCAGGTTTTCTCCAACCATATGGTCTCTTTAGAACCCATATGGATGACCCAACGTGAATCCATGGTTTCTGAGTTCCACCCTTCCCTCTCGCTTCTAGAGCCTCGAGAGCTTGGGCATCGTTGACCTGTTCATGCCCGGAGTCGCCAACCTGACAGCCTTTGACCGCTTCGCCAGCCTGAATGTGGACGAAGCCATCCACCAGGCGACGGTCGAAGTCAATGAGGAGGGCACGGTCGCCACGGCAGCCACAGGTCAGTACGCAGGGGGAAAATGGGAGACAAAGGAGAGGAATATGGGTTGGGGAGAAGAAAAGGGGAGGAATGACAGAGGATTGGGGACGGACACCAATTATTAGATACAATATGTAGATGTAATAAAGGTGTATATAACATATATGTTCTCTATCTAAAACTGCACACACAGGACTGATCAACACGAGAGTGGGCATCGGGCACAAGTCGTTCGTGTGCAACCGGCCGTTCGTTTTCCTCATCTACAACAAGGTTCTCGGAGTAACACTCTTCGTGTTCTGCAACGACAGGCTCCATAAAACTCAACAACAAGGTTCTCGGGAACTCTTCGCTGGACGGTTCTCCACGCCTACGTAGTGAGGACGAAGACAGGCTACGAAGATCAGGGAATGAAGAGAAAATATAAACAGCGAGTGAGAAAAGAAGTGACGGCCTTTTTTGGGTGGTGGTTGGAATGACATGTCTTGTCAGAAGGAAATTTAAATGTGTTACATGCAGAAAAGAACATTTTGAATAACTAGCACACAGAGAGAAATCATTTGAGGGTCAAATTTTCAGACATTGAACAGAGTAAAGCGAAGTATTATATGCACTAAAGAACATTCCGAATACATAACATCATAGAAAGAAACATCGAATTACAAAATTTTAGATACGTTTAAAAGTGTCATGTGTGAAAAATTGAATTATGAGGTGATATCTGTGCAAAAATGCAATATATTTGTATTTGTAATGTGCTCTTTATCATTAAACCCTCTGCCATAAAGAAATGCAAGGAAATATCATTTATACAATGTGTGGAATAGGTAATTTATGCCTCTGAATATTTATCAGTACTGGAACTTATGTAAAATATAAGTATTTTTATTCTCATGTTTCTTTTATTTATCCAAGATGTGTACTGAAAAGGGGATGCAGGAGTGCTGCAAGTGCTATGCATAAATGTATATACCAAAGTTTCTCATCATTAAAGTAGAATAAAAGAAATGTGCATTATCAACTCACTAACCAGGTGTATGCATTGGTTTTGAGATATTTCATTTTCTACTAGCATAACATCATCAGGAAACTGTTTATACCATAGCAGGAAAGTAAAAGGTAATCTAAGGACATTAGTTATTAC